ACTCGATGGCATAAAACAACAACAAACAAACAACATACAGATTACAAATGGTAGATTTTTACATTTAATTACACTGTGTTAGGATAGATATATGTAACATGTATATCCAAGCCTGCTTTTTTATGGTAGCAATTTGTCCTTCTTTAGGACTTTTTTTTAGTTATTTGTAAATAGCTGGTACCTTGGGCACTGAGCCCAGTTTTGCTCTCATTGCCTTTGCAGTATTCCCTTTCTATTTTAGGATACGTTAGAAATTATTGGTTTGTTTTCAAAAAATGAAGTAAATGAACAAATTTGCTTGCAAAACATTTATTATGTGTGACTATCCCATGATAGGAGCTCTGGTAGCATAGTGCCTAAGGCACTTGACTGCTCACCAGAAGGTTGGCGGTTCAAACCCACCAGCCACTCCTTGGAAGTAAGGTTGGGCAATCCTACTTCCGTAGTGATACTGCCTCGGAAACCCAGGAGGGGTCGCTATGAGTCGGGGCCGACTCGACGGCAAACAACAAACAAAACAAAAATGTTCAAAGGAAGGAGTTCTGGTGGTGCAGTGGTTAAACCATTCAGCTACTAACCAGAAGGTCACTGGTTTGAATCCACCTGCTGCTCCATGGGATAACCATAAGGCAGTCTGCTTCTGTAAGGATTTATAGCCTTAGAAACCCCACGGGGCAGTTCTACTCCATCTTTTGGGTTGCTATGAGTGGGAATCAACTCGACAGCAGTGAGTTTTGGTTTGGTTTTATTGTATGTGTGTAAAATTTGTTATAGTGTTATCTTTTATTTTATATGATGATATGATTGAACATGTGACTAATTAACTGAGACAGTGATTAACTCTAATACATGGTTCCAAAGTTGAAGTGGATTAAAACATCAATAAAGATAAAAACTATATAAGACAAAGGAAAGAATCAAATGAAAATGTTAATCAATCACGTTTTATGTTGTTGTTTTATCTGCCATTGAGTTGGACCTGACTCATAGCAACCCCTCCTTGGGTTTCTGAGGTGGTATCACTACAGAAGTAGATTGCCCAACCTTCCTTCCGAGGATAATTTGTTTGCTACCTATTACTTTTTCATTGTCCTTCTCAAAGAGAAGTTAAATTTCATAGTGTACCTTATTTCTTCTAAATGCTGGGAATAATGTGTCTAGTCTTACCATCTCATGGTGGTACTTCAGAAAATAATATCCTATTCTTAGGTTTGCTTTCTGTATTTGTTAAGCATATTACAAAGTATTTAAACCTTTAATATCAGAAAAAAAAATTATAGGAAAATTAGAGAAACTGGGAGGAAAACAACTGAATTTGTCAACAGCTTGGGTGTGGTTGAGAAAACGGAGGTAGTCAAAACTGATATTGGGCAATCTATTTCCGTAGAGATACCACCTCAGAAAGGAGCTCTGGTAGCATAGTGCCTAACGTACTTGACTGCTAACCAGAAGGCTGGCAGTTCAAACCCACCAGCCACTCCTCAGAAGGAAGGTTGGGCAATCCTACTTCCATGATACTGCCTCGGAAACCCAAGGAGGGGTCGCTATGAATCGGGGCTGACTCGATGGCAAATAACAACACCACCATCACCTCAGACCCCAAGGAGGGGTATGCCCACATGATGGCAGTGAGTTTGGCTTGGATTTTGAGAGTGGAGAATAGAAGGGTTTATAAGTCATTGATTAGTAGGCTGAAAAAGTTAAGCAGGGGAAGTAGTTTTTACCTTTCCCACAAAACTCAATGTTCCTTTTTCCTGAATATATCATTAATTTCACTCATCAATATTTTAGAGACAACTAATATTAAATACTGATTAAAGACCCCCAAGTTTGCAGTATTCTTAACAATCTTTTGAAAATGGTGATTTCGATCTTTTCTCATGTTCTTCCAGTTAAAGAGGAAAAAAACCTTAAACATGGCAAGGGCTGTGACATGACAATGGTCACAGATACTGTAGTACAGCCAGGTTCCCTAATTATTAAACTAGTGGAATATTTTCAGATGCATTGGATTACTAAATCTGGCGATCAGTTCATGACACACTCTTCCCAATTTATAAAAATCTTCTCAGTTTCGTGAATCTATCTGTGCATTTAAACCTGATGGTTTCAGTAAATTCGTCTAAAAACATTTTTTGTCCTGGAATGGAATGAATATGTGGGCTCAGACATCTCAGAGTTTATTAGATCCTTGGCTCTTTTTCTACAAGTCCAAAAGGATAAATAAATAGAGTGACACTGGGCTGAAATGATTTAGAAAACCAGTATTTAGATGCTTATATTTTAAAACAATAAGGTAACTTTTTTTTTTTAATAAAGCAGTTTTCCAAATAGAAAATGTATTTGTGGTTTTGACTTCAAGAAAACTATTATTAAATCATTGCTGTTCAAAAATATTTTTGAAGTATCAGTATATTTAAATTTTTTTTTTTTTTTTTAAAAAAGGACACCAGCCTTATTCTGGCTTTCATTGCATTCTCCCAATTCAACCCTCCAAATGGCTTAAGTCGCATAGCTAGAAGGATTTTGCTCATTTTTTCCAAAACAGTTCACATCTGGGTAGTAGCCAACAATGGAAAGTTTCAAGCAAAAGTAACATTTGGGAGAGAGAAAAGGCTCGTCTGAGGCAGCCTTTACAGTAAGGCGGCCCTCGGAGGCGTCGCCACCCGCCCTGTCCCCACAGTTGGGGGGCCAGTGCAGGTTTGGACCAGCCTCGCCCCGACGGTCTGGCCAACGCCAACCCGGGTCAGTGCCACTGACCGCCGGCTCCTTGGCTGCTGAGGCTTTCGCCCATCATTTTCCTCTCCCTCCCGCTGCACACCCCCCATAGTTCGAGGCCTCAGCATCCACAGAGTACACCCGCCGTGAAAACGACAAGATCCCTGGGCCAACAGTTCCCAACCAGGTGTCTTAGGACCCGCACGGAGAAAAGGGGCTACACTGGAGGCCAGTCTGGCTCCCCAGTCTCACACGTCAGTGTAACTCCTCTTACCACCCCCCCGCCCGACCCTCCGCGCCGCCGGCGCCGAGAGAAATTTGACTGCTCCAGTAACCAATCAGAAGAGAGGTCGACGGCCTGAGCCAATAGAAGCTGGCTAAGGGGGCAGGCCGTCAGCGTCGTCCAGCCCCTGGGTGGGTGAGCACTGAGTGTCTCCAGCCCTCCCCTGCGCTTCAGCCTCAGTGCGGAGCCTTCGGCGCCGTGTGCAGGAGCGTCAGCGGATAGCTTCGGGAACTACGACAACGGCAGTCGGAGCCAGAGCCGGAGCCTGAGCCACGTCGTTACCCATCTCACCGCCCCGCTGGGAAACCGCGTTTCCCCGAGGAGAGCGGCTGCCCACGCCCGGAGCATCTTCCTCTGTCCACCGGGCGCTGACGGACCCGGCGGCATGATGCGGCTGCGAGGCTCGGCGATGCTGCGGGACCTGCTCTTACGTTCGCCCGCCGTCGCTGGTGCGGCGCTGAGGCGGGCGCAGCCCCTTGCCACCCTGTGCCGGCGCCCCCTGGGCGGGGGCCGGACGGCCGCGGGCCCAGTGTCCGCCGCGCGGCTCTTCCCGTGGTGGGGCGGGGGTGGCCGGCCGGCAGGACCCCTCTCGCGGGGCCTGTCCAGTTCCCCCTCGGAGATCCTGCAGGAGCTGGGCAAGGGGGGCCCGCAGCCTGGGGCGTCGCCGCCCGCGGCCCCTCCGGCGCCCGGCCCCAAGGACAGCCCCGGGGAGACGGATGCGTTCGGCAACAGCGAGGGCAAGGAGCCGGCGGCCGCAGGCGAAAAGTGAGTGTCTCTGCGAGGGCCGGGCGCAGCAGCAGCCTGAGGTGGGGCGGGATGGGAGCAGAGGTTCGAGAAAGAAAGAGATGCGGGCGGCCTGCGCCGTCTGCGCCATGTGATTAGGCCCGGCCCCGCCCGCGCCTTCCCCGGCCGGCTCCACTTCCCTTCCTCCTCCCCGGCGCAGGCCGCCCGGGTGGGACGGCCGAGGGGCTCGTCTGGGCCTCCCCCGCCCCGGAGCGGCCGCTGCGGGCTCCGCGCCGCGTCCTCGGCGGCGCCGTATCCGCGCCCGGCTCGCGGCTGCAGCAGCTGGCCGCCGGCCCAGCCTTTGGGGGATGATGCCTTAGGAACATCTCCACCGACTGACATTTAAGAGTCGATATTGAGCAGATCCCGTGCCTTCCTGACTCGTCGCTTTTCCAGGCTCGAGTTTCCGCTCTGTTTGCCCTTTCTCGGGCTCTGCCACCACCTCTTGGGGAGCCTAATGTGGCGGACTATTCTTAATCTTTCTGCGGTGGCTCTTTGGAGGCATGTGTGGAGCCATCCGGGCCCCGGAAATAATGTTTTAGAATCGAGATTAGGAGAAAGAGGGTCACGTGGCCGAGAGGCTGGGGCAAGCAGTTTAGACCACCTGTTTGCGCTGGGGACCAGCTTTGGCCTGTCTGATGTCTTCCATGTAATGGACGGATTTTTAAAAAGAAATCGAAATGGTCAAGGTGAAACAATGACGTAAAACACTGGGTGATAAATGGGAGTTTAGTAGATTTTTTTAATATAAGTACTTTGTGAATAGGATGTTGAATTATCTAAACATGCAAAGTAGTTGAGTCTCAACAAAATTGGGGATTTTTACATAATATATCTAGCAGTGTCCTGAATACTTTTGTGTAATATAAATGAACACAAACTTTGTTTTCCCAATATAGGTAAAAATTTGCCTGTCTGCTTCCTTTATATCCTACTATTTTTATGACTTGGAATTGACACCACGTGACCCATTGCCACCTTTTTACATCTGTCACTACCGTTTCCCAGCCCCAGAGTATCTCAAATCACGCTGAAATTGTGATTCTTAAAATTTTAATCTCAGGCCTGCTTAATGGTTCCTGTAATTGAAGTTAGCAACTCCCTAGAACATTCCAAGCTATAACTGTTTTCCAGACTGAAAAATTACTTGAAAAAAAATTACTGGTAGTGGGCAGAAATTGTGATATTCTGTGGTAATGATTTTGTGCCACAAAGTAGCCTTGTCACAGAGAGCAGGTCGTTTAACATCTTGGGTTAGATGACTCAAATCTCTAAAAACGTAGACTTTTGTTAAAATGTATGCTTCATCTCATCTGGGACTCACTTTTACTTCAGATGGCATCATCTGGCTCACCAACCATATGACAAGAATTTAAATACATGTGCCCAGAGAGGTACAGAATTGCAACATGCAATTAATTAGTACCATTGAAAAATTACCTTTGAAGACTACAGGTGATAACTGCTTTCCTTTGAAAATATGTCTTTGGGTCTATTTTCGGTATCTCCTTTTTTTTTTCTTTTTTCTTTCCTTTTGTGGAATAGGAACTCGAACAGCTATTGTAATTTACATGTTTCCCAGAAGCCTGGGTTTTTAGTCCTTTTTATAAGAAGGCGTCTCTTAGCAATAAAGGAGTGCTGGTGGCTTAGTGCCTAAGGCATTTGACTGCTAACCAGATGGCTGCCGGTTCAAACCTACCAGTCAAACCTACCAGCCACTCCTCGGCAGGAAAACTGGGCAATGTACTTCTGGAGACATACCACCTCAGAAACCCAAGGAGGGGTCACTGTGAGTTGAATTGATTGGACGGCAGTGCGTTTGGTTTTTTGGTCTTAGCAATAACATTCAAATAGGCAACCCTGCATAAAAACAACTCCCACCTGACTTCCCCCACAAAAAAAGAAAATGAGCCTGGAGGAGGAAGCCCTCAAGATTTGCTCAGAAGTCTTGGGAGTTTGGCCAGTAAAATAACCTTTATTTAGTTCAGGAAGGAAGTTTGATTTTTACCATTATTATTTTACCATTATTATTTGGAATAATAGTAGACTGGTTCAGAAGCAATTTTAGATATATGATCTTGAGAGCTTTCAGTCAGATTTAGGTCAGGAGTGAACCTCGGCTTTCTCCAGTTTAACATAAATATATTGGCTTTAAGTTTGTGAAAAATGCCTGTTAATCCCATGAAAGTTTATTTTCCGAATGTTCTTGCTGCCAAATGTAGCTTTCCTCCTTTGGCTCCTTCCATTTTATCTTTATGTGATGAACATTTATTCTGGGAGGTAAGCTTCCCTTTGATCCTGTTATCCTCTCTAATGCTTAGCTTTCAAAGCGGAGGTCATCCCTCAATCAGCAGGCCACCTGGAATGCCAACACTCACTGGGTCCTTAAAAACCCCCTAGATTTTATGGGGCATTGTTAAATAGCCACATGGAAATTAAATGAGTTAATATTTTATAAGAGGCTTAGAACAGTATTTGGAACATGTTGGATGCTGCATTTGTTTAGTAAATGAGAATAAAATTGTGTCTTCATTTACTGTAAGCCTGTTAAGGACATTGACCACCAGTTTTCAAGCTTACACATGAGAAATGTCTTGTTTTTTATTTCTGGAAAAAAGTCCCTCTTGAGAAAATTTTTGTACTTTTTTCTTAAAATGAAGCTATGATTTGCTCTGTTTACCTTTTTTCCTATCTTACCAGTAAGTTCAGTGTGAATTTCATGCTTAACCCCAGCAGTTTCCTTAGTTCATATGGCTGCTATATTTGCTTTTCCTCTTTTCCTTGGTTTGCATTTTCTTTTTATTGTCTCCTTCAAATAAGTTCAGTCTGATTTAGGTTCCTGGTTTATGTTAGGATTCTGCTTCTAAGATCTTACCTTACAGATAAATGATGTAATGATTTTTGCTCAGTTTTCCCTGCACTTCTTATATTTAATTTTGTTAACGTTACTCCGTCATCTTGAAGCCACTTGCTTGGCTCTATTCATTTCTCAAATTGTTCTCTCAACTTCCTAGCACCTCTTCTTGGGTTTCCTCACTGGGTATACACCCCGAGACTGAGGCCTTTGCTCCTTTTCCACTTCACTGCTTACTCAGCAGCATATCCCTTCTCTTAGCTTTTGCCTCTCATCTTTGGGTAGATAATATTTCAACTCTCATCCAAGCTCTGTTACCTCCGTATGTCTGTGTATCTCCATATAGCTGAAATATTGGCACTTAAAATCTGTACCTCTACTATACATATCCATTTTTCCCTCTAAATCTATTTTGTGCATTTTGCCCAATTAATTTTAGAATTTTAATTTCAAAATATTCTTTACACAGAACCAACACAGACGGGAATGGGCATTATATCAACATCATAAACTGTTGTGGCATTGAAGAACCTTGACTAACCAATATACTTGCCTAACATGGACATTTTTATCAAACCAAACCATACCATGCTTCATTACTGTAAAGCCTAGAAATGTACCATATATATTAGTGAAGGGTTTCAGGGAGGAAGATTATTAAACCATGTATAACCTATTGGTGAAGATGCCATTGATGCATTGTTATTGATATAAAAACACTGATAAATTTGTACATGATCTGTAATTTTCAAAATTCACTGAAGGAGAATAAAGTGGATCCAGAAGCTTAGTCTCCTTTAGTTTTAGCTTGTTTCCAGGCTTTACTGTTTTGCAGAGAAGTCTGCCTCCTTCAAATTCAGCCAACTCAGGAAACGACTACCAAATAGAACTCAACCTTTTTCATGAAGCAGTATGCAGGCCAGAAAAAAAGGAGAGGCACTATTTCGGTTTGAAAAGCGTAAATGTGAGCTTGAAGAGAAAATAAATGCGCAGAAGATTACTTGTATGCTTCTTGTAGTTTTAAAAACTTACAGTATCCTTGTGATGTTGAGGTAGAGAAAAATTATGATTACAGAAACTGAAAGTTGTAGGATTTTCTGTCTTAAAAGGACTCAGTCATATTAGATCCTATATAAACCAAGGTTATTTTATAGTTGCCTCTCTGCTTTTCGACTCTAGCTCATTTGTTAGAGGAATGCTTAAGAAAGCTGAAGATATTTATAAAATAGTTCTAATCATTGATATATCTAAATGAGGTAAATAGGTTTTAGGCACAGACACTGTGACTACAGGTTTACCCTGTAATCTATTCAAGTGTAAAATTGCTTTGGTCATGAAACAATGCATTTTACTGCAGTTGGTGTTTTCTGATCACCTTCAGTGTTGAAGCAGCCATGTCTGGCTTTCTTTGAGAACTATCCCCTGCTTGGTATATATCATTCATTATTGCTTGCTGATTTCTAAGAAGTGCTTATAGTGAAAGCACTAATTCCAGAACATTATAACTGTTGCTATTTTATAATTAAAAAAACTATAAGCTTTTAGGATTTAGAAATACTTTTTTTTTAATTTGCCTATTCTGGTATAGGCCTCTGAAGAAGATTTAAAATTGTCATCATGATTAGGATGGTTTGAATGTCATAGACACTTTCTTAAATTCTTGGTTGACATTTTTAAAAACAGTATAAACGTTGTGAAGAACAATTTTTCTTTTCTAGTTCTTTCATCTCATAGGCTGAAATTCACATGGTCCATTAGTCTTGGATGAAGAAAATTTTTTTTAAATGTGTGGTAAAATGTTTAAAAATTCTTTAAAACTCAAGGAGACTACACTTCAGCATTGAATTAATTCTCTTTCAGTGACCATCATCTAAATATTAATAAAATTCCTTTAAGAATCTAGGCTAAGAAGAACTAAAATGTAATGTTTTTTGGCACAGTGTTAGGCATATTAGCAAAAAACTAGTGTTCAGGTTACTTGGTTAGGTAAATCATGGTATCTCCATATGAGAGTCTCTTATTAAGCCATTTAAAATGTATACAGATTCTGTTTAGCCATGTAGGAAAATACAAGCTTCAGTGAAAAGTTAGAATCAAAAGTTTCTATCAAGTGATCTCCAGCTTTTCC